TCCAAAGTTCTATACTTTGTTGTTCTGATTTATGTTTAATTTGTTCTTCTAATGCAACATCTTTCCATATATTATAAATGTCATCTTGTATTACAAGAAAATCTTTAATAAGTACTGCAGTTTCTTGATTACGATTAGTCCAGATATTATCCATTTCCTGTGATTTTTTTTTAAAAATTTGATTTATACCTTTAATATTTAAACCGTCTCTAAGTCTTTCTGCAATCCAAGTACAAACTTTATCAGATAGTTTTAAGGTTCCAATATCATCATCTTGGCCAGGAATGTGGTTTGTATGTGGTGTATATTTTATTATTGTTTGACAATTATTCGAAGAATTTGTTTTGGTGATTATAATTTGTGATTTGCAATCACATTTTTTAGATTTTTTTTGATTGGGTCTTGACTTTTTTTGTAAATTTTGGCCTGCTATGCTTTTATAAATACCAGCACGATGACATTGATAAATTATACGTGTAGTATTATTTTTTTTAATATGTTCAGTTTTTCGTTTATTGTAAATAGCACCTGTAGATGTTCCAAATTCTTTTATCTATATATTAATATCTGTATTAAAGGGGATACAATATTCTTCTCCATCAACAGGTTTACCCCATTTAATATCATATTTAATTGGATAAGAATCAGTAGGAAGTTTATTAAGAATTGTATATTTGTTTTTTAAACTTTCTACAAACTGATCAAAACAGTCAAACAAATCTTGTAAATTTGCTTCATGGTTATCTATATAATCCTCAATATTAATCATTGTAAGTAATTACTATGAATAAATGAAATATCGAGTATTAAAAATTTTAAAAGTTGAAATTCTACTTTTAAATCGTAAAAAACTTTAAATTGAAACATATGACTTATACATATCAGATAATAACTTTAATTTTAATTTGGTTAATTCAAGTTTATAACATGATAAGAACGAATAGACATTAGCTAATTTTATAAAAACTAAATTTAAAAGTTTTAAGAATTTTAAGAATTCAGTTATAATATATGGAAAGATGTTGCATTAGAAGAACAAATTAAACATAAATCAGAACAACAAAGTATAGAACTTTGGA